GAAAAAGATACCAGTTTTGTAATCAGCAAAACTCATACTATGTGAAGCTGGACAGACCACAGGTCTGGCTTTTTTAAAACAAAAAATTACTAGGAAAAAGAGGTATGTCTATGTGTGTATATATATGTGTGTTGTGATGGGAGAAGGACCTATAAATTAATGGATATAAAAAACAGGGACAAAAATAGATCTTTTGGGACTCAGGTTCAAGGAAAAATCATTTTTAAATTATATAAGTCAGTTAGGTAAATGTGAAAAATAGCCGGACATTTGATTATATTAAGGAGCTACTTTTTAAGATAGTATACCTTGTCATGCTTTCATCTTTTAGAACTAGATATTGAAATATTTAAAAATTAAATAGCATGATATATAGAATTTGTTTCACATTATGTAGAGATGATGGCAAGTATGAATATAAATGTAACCAGATCAGCTCATGTGTTGATGACTGCTGATTCTGAGTGTTAATATATTCTCTCTACATTTGAATATGTTTGAGAATTTCTGTAATATAAGGAATATATAAGCCATTAAATTTGAAATCCCAAATGAAAGGAGCCTATTATTTAAAAATATTTGAATAGACTAACTGGTCTAAACAGAAATAGAAAAATGTAATTAAGCAATACAAAGTTTAACTGTGAACAAAGTTCCAGCCATTCTTAAATATTTCAACATTAGGTAGTTGGGGGGGCAATTTTACCAAATAATAAGCAAATAAGTAACCACCATCTCACATAAACACATCGAAAGAACACAAAACCATCAGAAATTTTTCAACTCATTTTCCTAGGCTAGCTCTCTTTGGTAAGAAAACCACCATCTGAGGACACACTGCAAAAAGAACACTTGAGCCAACATCATCCACGCAGAGGCCAAGATTCTAAATAAATCCTTACAGTACAGCTGTGAATACAGTCTGTGACCAAGGAATGTAAAAATATTATTAGAATAAAAAATGGTCTAAAATATCACCACACTAACAGATTAGGTTTTGTTTTGTTTAAGGCATTAATCATGTCCTAAGGTTCAAAAAAGACTTTGGGGGAAAAAAAACACAAATGCATTTAATAACATTTAACAAACTAACATTAAAAAGGAAGTTTCGTTTGCCAAATTCTACAGTATTCAAACTTAAGTGTAAAATACGAACTGTTAGGAGCATTCCTGTTAACATAAGGAGCAAGACATAGCAGTATATCACCAGAAAATATAGCCAGAGATAATAAGATACAAAATTAAATAAATGTTAGGAATATTAAAAAGAAACAGAACGTCATTGTTAAAAACATGATTGTCGGGCTGGGGATGTGCCTCAAGCGGTAGTGCGCTCGCCTGGCATGCGCGGGGCGCTGGGTTAGATCCTCAGCAACACAGAAAATAAAAATAAAAAGATGTTGTGTCCACCGAAAACTGAAAAATAAATATTTAAAAATTCTCTCTCTTCTCTCTCTTTCTCTCTAAAACAAAACAAAACAAAAAAAACAAACAAAAAAACATGATTGTCATTTTCAAAGACCCAAGGACAAGGCCATGGGTTATTCAAATAAATGTTAACTTCTGAAAGATGGTGTATAGATCTATACAAACTTTGACTATAGTAAAGTCAAAAGTCTTGCTGCACAAAGCAGTAATATTAGAACATACATGTAATATATTTGATACCACAAATGAGGATCAAATCTAAAATGAATTTCACTGCACAGTTCAATGCAATGTTAGATAAGGCCAAAAGATCTGGGTCTCCCAGGGTGAGGTGGCACATGCCTGCAATCTCAGTAGCTCTGGAGGCTGAGGCAGGAGGATTTTGAGTTCAAAGGCAGCCTAAGGGATTTAGGGAAGCCCTAAGCAATTTAGTGAGACTGTCTCAAAATAAAAATAAAAAGGGCTGAGGGGACTGGGGTTGTGGCTCAGTGGTGGAGCACTTGCCTTGCATGTGTGAGCCCCTGGGTTTGCTCCTCAGTACCACATATAAATAAAAAAATAAAAAGGGGTGGGGGCAGGCTGGGGATGTAGCTCAGTGGCTAAGCACTCCTGGGTTCAATCCCTGGTACAAATAAATAAATAGAATTACATTTTAAAAAATAAAAACATAAAAGATCTGAGTCTCTTGAAATTATGCAAACATGCATATTTGCATAATTTCAAGAGAATATATCTTGAAATTCCGAATTCCATTTATAGAGGCTCAAACGTTTGAAGTGAAAATTAGACCTGGGTGTGGGCCTGTAGCCAACTGAGGGAAGGGTCCTGTCATGTGCCTAGAACCAACAAGAGCTCTATGCGAGTTCTCTAAAATTACCCCTCCCCCATAATAGTGGAATCTTCTGACAAAGTATGACCCCTGCTGTCAACCCTGGGAGATTTCAAAGAAAGTCGCCAAAGACTGAATTTGGCTGGTGGAGACAGGATCACTCTGCATGTTCTCTTACAGTTCAGAACTTTTCCCGGGCTGCCTACCTTGCGCTGCATCCTCTCCATTTCAACTCTCATCTGCGGTGCAAACCCGTGATGGGTAAAGGCTTAAGCTGGAAAAGTGTCCAGAGCTTGCTGGGAATTTTTGTTTTTCTTTCTCTCTTTTTCTTTCTCCTCACGGAGCCTTTAATCTATGAGCCAGTAAACAAAATGTGGCTCTATTTTCTTATGTTACCAGGCACTCCGAAACAGAGAGGGCGCCAAAGAGTCACCCCCATATTGTACCACAGTGCAGGAAGCCCTGAAAATTTCCTACGCAAGAGCAGGGGCCGGATATGTTCCCCCCACTGACTTCCGCCACTGAAATCTAGGAGGTGAAACTTTATTGTAAAAGAAATGGCGTCAGCTTAGCAGCGGGAGGAGCCCAGGTCTTTCCACAAGGTAAAGATGTTAAATAAGGTTTGAGGGGACCCCTTACATTCGAAAACAGAAAGCCCTCCCAGCCCGCCTCTGCCATCAGCCTCAGAGGACCCTGGTTGGGGACTGCCTGGTATACTACCTTCCGAATTCCATTTATAGAGGCTCAAGCGTTTGAAGTGAAAATTAGACCTGGGTGTGGGCCTGTAGACAACTGAGGGAAGGGTCCTGTCATCTGCCTAGAATCAACAAAGGCTCTATGTGAGTTCTCTAAAACTACCCCTCCCCCCCATAATAGTGGAATCCTCTGACAAAGTATGACCCCTGCTGTCAACCCTTCCCCCTGGGCACCCCTCTCCTGTCTCCCCCACACATTTTCCCTCTCCCTCATCCTTCTGCCCTCCCTCATTCTCCCCCCCCCATCCTTCCGCCCTCCCTCATCCTTCCCCGCTTCCCTCATCCTACCCCTCCATCCCTCTCCTCTCTCGCCCCTCCCCTCTCCCTTACCCCACAGAAGTATTACAGAGCCACGCCCCTGACTTGAGCCCTCTGAAACCAATGGCTTGGTGTAAAAAAAACAAAACAAAACAAAACAAAACAAAAACAGTTGACGCCCCCAGTTTAACTTTGTGTGTGTGCGTGTGTGTGTGTGTGTGTGTGTGTGTGCGCGCGCGCGCGTGCGCGCATGCCAGGGATTGAACCCAGGGATGCTCAAGGATTGAGCCATAGCCCCAGCCTTTTTTAATATTTTATTTAGAGACAGGGTCTGGCAGAGTTGCTTAGGGCCTCGCTAAGTTGTTGAGGCTTTCTTTGAACTCGGCAATCCTCCTGCCTCAGCATCCCAAGCTGCTGGGATTATAGACATGCACCACCCCTCCAGGCCTCAGTTTAATTTTCTGGTGGGCACAGAGTACTTAAGAACCTTGGTGTAAGGCTAAATTCAGCAGAGGGAGGAGTCTCCAGGGTAATCAAGAGTTACATTCAGAAACTTGAGCAAGGACCAGGGAGACTTTCTCTCCCAGAACAAAGGAAGCCCCACAGAGCACCACTACTGCTATGAGCTCATCAGCAGTACTGTCAGGTTAAAGTATTCCTTACTTTATTCTTAGTGGTCACAGGAGGATGAAATCCTTGGCCTGACAGGGCAGTGACAAGTCATTAGAGGGTAGCCACCCAGGCCCTTCTGAAAGTCAAAGTGAAGAGTGAGGGAGGAACACCCTGCCTTTTTTGATAACTTTGGGAAGCCTTAAGTATATCTGTCATTCTGAGTGCCTTGACTCTACATATACACAACATACTTAGGAATATCATGTGAGTGAGGGCCTTGGTCTGATTGGTATTAACCTCAAGTTTGCAGAGGGAAATGTATTAAGCAGCCAAGGTGAGGAGTTCTGGTGAGAAATGGTGAGTTCATACTGAGAAAATAGGGGGTTTCAGAAAACTCTACCAGGGTTGTGATTCCTGAAAGGGATTTCTGGAGAAGATATGTTACTATGAAGCCTCCCTGATTTGTTCCTCAGTAATCTGAGAGATGTGAAGGCCTTGTGTGAGGGTCTAGGTCTCAGGTCAGTAGAGAAAGAGCAATAAGATCCCAGAAGAGGCAAAGATGAGGACCCTGAGGGAAGATTGATAGGTATTATTACCCCAGGATAGAAAGGATCTTACGGAGTTCTTCCATTGCAACCTTTCCAGGTTGTCCCCAGCAGATAAAGTCACATGAGATTCTCTCATTTTCTCACACAGGGAGATGAAAGCTTTGTAATGAGGGAGTCAGTCAGTATGGTTAAGCACAGAGATCACAGGTCCTTCCAGAAACCAAAGTAATGGTCCTGAATGTGAATTGAGGAAAATATTCCCTACCCAAAAATAAAAGAAGCTCCACAGGATATGCAACTGTCAGACACTGTGTCAGCCCCAATGGGATACAGGTGGGACTGGAGGGCTTCAGCCTAAACACACTAGTTATTTTCACAGTGCCTTGTGGGAAGCCTCATGGGGAGAAGGAACTTAATGAATTCTTTGAGCAGTGCCCTCCAGGAAAAGTAGGAAGGTGGTTGGTATCTCCTTGCAGAAGGGGATTACATAATCTCTCTCTCTTTTCTCCAGGACATTGAATCACCTGTCCTTTTTCTGACACTCCTGCTTACTTTTTGTGGCCAGTCATCATGCCTCGGGGTCAGAAGAGTAAGCTCCGTGCCCGGGAGAGACGCCGCCAGGCTCAAGAAGAACCCAAGAATATGGGTAATGTTCAAGCGACTGCAGCCAAAGAAGAGACTCACTCTTCCTCATGTTCTCATTTCAAAGATACCCCCAAGAGTTCATCTACTCCTGGAGCAATCAGCAATCAAAAAGAACCTGGGCAAGCCCCATCTACTGTGGTGACTGCTGCTACAGCTGTTTCACATAAAACAGCTAGTGGAGACACCAAGTACCAGGTTAAGGGAAAGCCAAATGTCTCACAGGATATCATTGAGCACTGGCACAAAAACGTTGTAGACCAGAAGGTTACAGTATTGGTTCATTACCTGCTGTATAAGTATCGAATGAAAGAGCCCATTACAAAGGCAGATATGCTGAGAAATGTAATCCAAATGTGCAAGAATCGCTACTCTGAGATTCTGAAGCAAGCCTCTGAGCACCTGGAGCTGGTCTTTGGCCTTGACATGAAGGAAGTGGATCCAAACAAGAATATCTATGTACTCATCAACAAGCTGGAACTAGACCACAATGCAAAAGTGAATGATAACAGAGGTATACCCAAGACTGGCCTGCTGATGACTATCCTGGGTGTGATCTTCACAAAGGGTAACTGTGCCAGTGAGGAGCAAGTCTGGGCAGTACTAAATATGATGGGGGTGTATGATGGGAAGAGGCACTTCATCTTTGGGGATCCCAGGAAGCTGATAACCAGAGATTTAGTGAAGGAAAAGTACCTGGAGTATCGGCAGGTGGCCAACAGTGATCCTCCACGCTATGAATTCCTGTGGGGCCCAAGATCCCATGCTGAAACCAGCAAGATGAAAGTCCTGGAGTATTTGGCT